GATCTTCAACAAAATGGTATTGATTTAACATGGTGCTCATATTTGCAAATTCAAACAAGATACGAAAAAGATGTAAAAGTAATGGGATTTTACAAAGAACAGACACCATTAGATAAAATACTCTTGAAAACAGATGAAAATTTGATTAAGAAACTCTATAAAGTTTTGTTAAACTGGAAGATGGAAGAAGAACAAGTGAAAGAAACAATGATAGTGTGGGCAAAGAATTTTGGTTATTCTATAGATTTAGAAGATTGGCAAAAACTATGGGACTGAAATATTAAACTTACTAAAGCAGCTTCATATAAGGAACATTTATATAAAATGTTTTATAGATGGCACATGACACCAGTTAGAGAAAATGTTTAAAAATGTATCAAATATGTGTTGGAAATGTAAACAACAACCAGGCACTTATTACTATCTCTGGTGGATATGCCCTAATGCTAAGAAATTTTGGTTTAAGATTCATATGTGGCTAGAAAAGATGATTAAAATACAGATAGAATTTAAACCAGAACTCTGTTTGCTAGGAATATTAGGCTTGAATTATGGAAAAGAGAATGAGTATTTAATATTACATGTGTTAACACCCGCGAGAATAACATTTGCCCAATTTTGGAAAAATGAAAATTTACCATCTGATCAGATTATAATAACAAAAATACTTGAATGTGCAGAAATGGATAGATTAACTTTAGAAATGAAAGAGAAAGAAGATACAATTTATTTTAAAACATGGGAAAATTTTTACCAATGGTTAGCAATACGATAGAATGAGAAAAGGTTATGAAACTTAAAGAGATAATTGATAATTTGTATTTATATTTCATGATTATTTGTATGAACTTGTCTTTTTCTGTTTTTTTTTGTATTTGTGATATATAGTAAATTATAACCAATAAGTAATATATTACTATTTTAAAGTTACTACAACTAATTAGTATTAAGCATTGTTAATTAGTAAAATGAATGAGATATATTAACTTGTTATTTACATGACTATATTGAAAGCTGTTTAATAATAATCATTAAGATTTAATATGTATACCCAGACGGGTTTACTTGTTGAAGTGATGTTATTTTGTGGGATCCCACTTTTGTGTTTACCCCCTTCCTTTGGTTTAACCCTTTTGTATGTCTCCCTTTGTTTTACCTCTGTTGACCCTATTCCCTTGTTACTCTTAAAAAACTCAATAAAATATTTGTTAAAAAAAAAATATATTTACTTTTACGGTTTTATTAATTTTAGTGTTGTAAGCCACCCATAGTCCCCTTGCAGTGAGATGGGTGGCAAATAAATTTAATAATTTAATAAACTTAAATAAGCCAAGATTCTGACCCAGTCCAATGGTTTAACCCAGGATTATTTTGAAGCTGTTAATTGTAACTTGAATGAAACAGAAAAATATAAACGAGGACTTCCGGTGGCAGGCGATTTCGTCGGTCGCAGCTGTTTGCTGCCTCCCGCCTGTTTTGCGTAAAAGCCGGTTTGACAGCTAGCATCTGCTGTCAAACGGCTTGATACCTTTCCCCTGGGCATAAGGGGATAGGTGAGCTGCCCGGGGTAGGAGTTGAGTTCCCGAGTCGTCCTATATGGACGATGTAGGCGAG